AAAAAAAAAATGTGACTGGACGAGGCCAGCCTAAACATTTAAACGCATGGCCAGCACCATGCTTCAAAAACGCAGCGTATCGGACCTGGAAAGACCTACGGTCCGAAAATACATAACTGAGCAACCAGAACTGCAAGGGACCGCATACGATAAACGCTGCCAAAGTAGGATCGGCGAGAGATCTGATCAGCAAAAAAAAAAAAAATGTATAAAGACAGACAATAGACTGTAATAGAAGGACGAAACAGCTGTCCACTGTTGCGATCCTGCTTTATCGGCTCTTGTCATGTTGGTGTCTCGAAACATTTTCCACTTAGTATCAGCCTTGCAAAAATAAAAAATACTGGAAAACATGAAAAAACAAAAAACAAAAAACAAAAAAAACTAAATGAGGTATTTCAAATTATACATTTATAGTGTAGTAACATCATGATTTTATTTATACATTTCAGTCGGATATATATTAAAAACCTAAATTAGACAAGATAGAATTGACGTTTATCAACCATAAGTAGGAAGTAAAACAGTAGTAATTTATTTTGGGAAGCCGCCCATAATTATTATTATTATTATTATTATTATTTTTTTTACGATATGCGTTAGTTAGATTAGTCAAAGAGAAGACGAAGGGTATAAGAGTTAACCCAAGGTAATCCCTCTGACCCAGGTCTCCCTCGGTAAATAGTTAATACACACGTTGCGTGGATCTTGTCGTGGCGGATCAAAATGCGCGTCAAGCCGTTTGGGCTGTCTACGTGAGCAAAATTTGTGTTACAGAATTGGATATTTCTAGACCCTCCTGTGATTTTCTACACCCTAAGAGATCTGAAACTAACTTCAGAGGTATTTCTTCGAGTATAAGGCCTGAATTGGCGATACCTCTTGCCTCCTTGCATGGTTTAGGGCGTCTTAGATCTTTTAAGGGGTATACTGTACTTGAAAATGCAATTATTAGTAAGTTTTTATCTGTATAGACTATTTTTTGTGTAAATAAAAAGTAATTTATCAGAAGGAAGTGATAATTCTTGCTGATATCGAATTGAATCTATAGTAGCTTTTAAGTATAACTGTTGCGTTATTAAACATGGTATTTCTCAAAGAGAGAGAGAGTGAATAGTAATATCAATAACGATTATGAACAAAGCATAGCTTATGTTGCTGATTCGATGATTAGTATTTAATAATCTGATCTCGGTCAAACGAAACCTACAAGTTGATGCAGACGTGATTATATTTCAATTCGGATTTCAGAGCAGTATGGTAGTGTTAACAATCACCGCTGAATACCCTCATCAGTCGAACAGAGGTTACGTGTACGGGACGCGATTTAGTTAGCCACCCCGTAATGCAGCTATAGAGTGACAGTCAAGGTATATTTCAATTTTTTTTTTTTTTTTTTT